CTTAGAGCATTCTGCTCCCCCATAGGTCACATGACCTCTGGGGGAGCAGAATGTTCCCATACATGGTCACATGATAGATCAGACCATCCTTTGCAACTCCCCATAGCACATGTAGGAGGCTCTGTATGTATACAAATGCAGTCACTATCAGCCCAGGCCAACAGGTCCTGGACCTTTTGATTTAGTGGTTAAAAGACATTCAAAGAAAAGAAAAGACTCCTGTAGCTTGGTCAAAACAAGCCAAACTTGGAGATATGTATGATGCTGTGTTTCAGCTCAAAGAAAACAGATTATGTTTCACCTCCTAGAAGTCACATATGTTTTCAAAGAGCACAGGATTAATTTGGTGTGACCATCCCCACTGGCAAGCTGTCAGGCAGGCTGTCAGGGGTGGAGATCACATCAGGCAACAGCTTCTGCCCCACTCCAAAAGGCCAAGATGATTAATGATGATTAATGGTCATGGCATCAATCTAGCATTACTCCCAATGTTCAGTGGGAGCTAGTTTAATGCCGGGGTAACCCCAGAAGTGATCTGATAATGACCACGTAATGCGGCATTACAGCCGCACAACTGTGGCAAGTATCCGTAAATAGTTTCATCAGGTTGGTAACTTAAAGACACTCAGTAAAGAGACTCTTTTTACACAACCAAGTCTTTAATTCAGCCAATGTTTTGGTGACTGGTTCATATTACATTGTAGCACAGATGTCGCTGCTACAGATGCATTTCCAAATGTACAATATTTGAATATCTACACATATTGTAGATACACTTCCCTGTAATCCAATCATGTATTTGCGTAGATATGTAAATATTTTGTACATGTATAATTGGGAAATTCAATGCATCTGTAGCAGTGACACCTGTGCTGCAGTGCAATGTGAACCAGTCAGAATTGCCCTGAGGAAGGTGACAGATGGTCACCGAAAAGTCGACTGAATAAAAGACTTGGTTGTGTAAAACGAGTCACTTCACTCAATAACCGGTGCAATAGCTCATCAATTGGTAGTCTAAGAGTGCTCGCTTTGTAACCGGGAGGTCGTGAGTTCAAACCCCGGCCAGGTCATACCAAAGACTTTAAAAATGGTACACACTTCTTTCTCTGCTTAGCACTCAGCACATAAGAGAAAGAGTGTGGGAAGGTCAAACACACAGCACTACCAGCGGACTAGCCCCCTGCTGTAGTGACTGGAATATTTTAATATTTAAAAATCTAATGTTTCTGAGCTTTACTTACAAGCACGTTGGCAGAATGTACTGCACCTGTACAAAACCCTGATTTTTCATGGTTTTCGTTGGATGTTTGGTCAATTTTGCATCAGAATTTTGCCTGTTGCAGACGATATCTTTTCTGACACAACATTTAGAAACCACAGACAGGCTGTTAACCTTATATGACCTCAGATGAGAGGTTCTGCCAGTTTGCTCATTTAAAAACTCTAGGAACATTTTACAGTAACCTTCAACTACTGGAGTGTTGCCAATCATGTCCAACCACCCTTAGAAACTCAATAGAGGAAGCACGATGTGTGACATGCCTGTACGAGTGGAGTCATTAGGCCTAGGAAAAAAATGTTGTGTTTCCTGTTTCCCTGACTTGGGCCACAGCAAGTAAATTTTATGGATGACATCCTCTGCAGACTTCAAATCTAATGTGAGCGGGCGAACAAGAACAAGGCGGGTCAAAAAAAAACAAGATTCCTACATTTTAAATTTTTTACTCAATCATTGTACAAATGGTTTTGATTCAGTGGGAATATCACATATACACAGCCAACATCACATATCACTGCATCAAAGTAAGAAACAAAACATTAAATCAGAGCCTTTTCTTGTCTCCTCTTTGCCATCCAACTTCTGACATGGCAACAGACATCTTTGCCCATTTTCGTCCAAAAAAATTACGTTCCTTGCAGGATTCTACAAAAAAAAAAGAGGCTAGGGTCGGCAGTCGGGAAACAGAAAACACAACATTTTTTTCCTAGGCCTTACATTTTCATGTACCACTACACTGTAACTGCACTCTTGTCACATGTACCCTGCTTGTCACCAACGGCTGATTCGATTTCACGTCACGTTAACATTGACACCATCATCGCGCTCTGATGGGTGTTCTAGAAGGTTCTTGGTGAAATGATTTCCCAGAAGCCATGTATATCTTTTTTGATATCATGCATACAAATCTAATTATTCTCTTCATATAGTACATAATATGTATAATATGTAAAAAAGCTATACGGGTATTGACTCTTTGGAGTGATAACAATTTCTCAAACGGAATAAAAGAACAGATTGCCATTTAGAAATGATGATAGCAGTTACAGTTATAAATTACATTTTTGTCTGACTGTCGCACACTGAGATTTAAATTAGATATTTGGCATTGAAACATCTCCGTAGGCTCCTATGATGTATTGTGATGAAGCAGTGAGATTTGAATTTGAAGTTTGTGCCCTCCTCAAGGCTGTTTTTATATGCACCATCAGTCAGTAGTCCCTCGGTAGCATTTGTTTTTGACAGTTTTGCTAGTACGTTATTTTTCTCCCACTGACTGTCATATGATTTATCATTCAAAATGCATGTTGAAGGGCAATATTAATATAAAGAGTGAGGGTTGACAATTATTGTCACAGTGGTTTTATGTTCTTAATTCTATATCACAAATTGCCTTACCAGTAATTTATAGTTTCTATCTGATTTCTTATTCTTCTACTTTCAAAATTAAGTTGAGTCTAGAAAGTGTATTTCTCTAATTGCCGGCAGTCTAATTCTTTAATCTCACTTCATTCAAAGTGCATGTTGAGTGAAACTATTCACGGGGTTAGTGTGGTTAGTTGTAATTGTTTATTAGGACTTTAACTTCTATATCACAACAGTCACAGCCTTATAAGGCTAATTTGATGAAGTGAGATTACAGAATTACACTGCTGACAATTAGAGAAATACTCACAAGATTGAGATTCAGCGAGTGCATCACACATCTGATGAATTGACAAGGTTGACCAAAAATGTATGGTAAGTTTCCTTCTTGTGTTGGAACAAAGCTTGAATAATAAAATAATGCTTTTTTAAGTTAATACATGTAGTTTGCCTCCTAGGCTCTCACCAGACATACACAAGGGAAACCTTACATGCTGGGATTGAAGCCTGAAAGCTTTTGCACAATAGCTGACTCAACAGTTAGGATGTGCCTCAGGAAATGCAGGTTTTTTTTTATTTAAAATCACATCCTGAATAGAAGAACAGGTGTATTTTCTGCTGACTCTTCCTTTAGGGGTAGCTGATGCAAGGGCACTGAGGATTGTTTCTCTTAGTGACTGGAATTTAATGTTTTCAGTATGTCGGCAGAACGTACTCCACCTGTACAAAGCCCTGATTTTTTACAGTTTTCGTTGGATGTTTGGTCAATTTTGCATCAGAATTTTGATTTAACGGTTCCGGTTGTCATTCTGAGTTTCATTACGAGTTCATGAGTACATGTTATAAGCTGCAGAATGATGAAAATATTGACCTGTGTTAACACAACCTTGAACGCTAAATTTTGTTACAGAATTGTACTGTGTAACTGAAATGTGCCTGGCTTGCATGTAGTTACAAATAATAGATACATTTAGAAAGTGATTATTGTATTCCTTTAATCATAATAACATTGCCAGGATAAACCTGTGCCCATCTCACGATCTTTGTGCTTCCTGTCCTCTCAAAAGCACCACCTAGGGAATGATTTGGAAACTGCAGCATCATTGCAGAGTGTCTGTCCTTGGTGCTGAAACAACAACAAATCACACAATTCTGCTATGTATATTTAGATTCTATAGTTTGATACTATCAGAAGCTTTAACTAAGTGAGGAAAAGGCTTAATGGCACTCTGATATGATGCCATTCTCTTGCACAAAGGGTTTGCATACTGGTTTGTTAGCTAGCTGGTGTGTTTTACCGAGGGGTGGTTATACCGGCTATATAGATACAGATACAGAAATGGTTAATATACATGTTTAACGTATTCTTGCTTGTAATGGGATTGTACAGTGTGAATGATAGCAGAGGAACTTTTTTGTCACTGAATAAAGAGACTCTTTTTACACAACTGAGTGTTTTTTTCAGCCAACGTTTCAGTGACCGTCTGTCACCTTCCTCAGGGCAATTCTGACTGGTTCACATCGCATTGCAGCACAGGTGTTCCCAACTGCAATGTACCTATACATATCTATAAGAACTGTTACAGTATTAAACATAAATTTTGTTTCTGCAGGGGCGTTCCGGTTGTACGACCTTGACCAAGACGGGTACATAACGAGAGACGAGATGATCAGTATAGTCACAGCCATATACGAGATGGTGGTAAGTTTACAACTATGGTTTAAACTCTGAAAAAACACTGAAAAAACTGTTTCTGAAAAGAACCGGTGCAATACAATGTAGCTTAACCAAGCAGAGTGCTCACTTTGTAACCTGGGGAGATTGTAAGTTCTAACCTGGCCGGGTCATACCAAAGATTTAAAAAATGGTACATATTACTTTGTCTGCTTAGCACTCTGAAGTATTTGGGAAAGAGTATGGGAGTTAAATACACACCACTACCAGCGGGCCAGCTCTCTGCTGTTATGCTTGCTGTAGTGCTTGTGTGGCTCAAGGGCTACAGAAATGGAGATGGGCACCACGCCACCCTATGCTCTGCAAGGAGTGGAACATTTCTGAAAAAAGAAACAATAGGCCATTATTTTAGAAAAGGTCCTTATGAATCAATCAAGTAGTTTGCCAGTATGAGGCTGGAGATGCAGGTCCAAACACAAACAGACCAAGCTCCATTATAATTAGCAAGTGTAAGGTACAGCTTAGTTTAATTCATACATTATGTACTATGTAGCAGGATGTATCTATAGTGAACATACAGAACGTGGGTCAATTCATTATCCACTGTCTTCAAACCTTAAAGTAGTATAAGTTGATCAGACAGTAGTAGTTGTCTGATTTAGTATTTCCTGTACCTTCTTTGACTCTGTACAACTGTAAGCAGCCCCTGGGCATGAATTTGCAAATAAAGATATATAATTAAACAATTTAGATATAGTGTGTTGTGTGGATACTATTAATACTTGTCCTCTTGATATGGCTGAAAAGGGACCCCATCATTTGGAAACCTGTATGGTATGTTGTGTTCCCATCATGCATCACTTCTGCACATGCCTGCTGGGACATGCATGTTGCAGCGAGGACATCTAGTGGATGCTCTCAGAACTACATGCACTTACAGTTATTCCCTTGAAGTCAGAGCTGTAGGGCCTAGGATAAAAAATGTTGTGTTTCCTGTTTCACGACCGACCCTAGAAAAAAAACTGCCAACCCTAGCCTTTTTGGGGGTGGACTCCTGCAAGGGACATATTTTTTTTGGAGCTGATCAACCTTTTCTAGCTCCATGATCTGACACCTGAATATAACTGTCCTCATGCAAGTTTTACTTTTTTAAACTGTACGCTTAAGTTAGATCTGTTCACTAAAGATTGCCAATATCGAGGAAAAAAAGAAAAGAAAAAAAAGAGATAATCCCTACCTACCGACTCTCATTTTTTCAGGACTGAAACAGGAAACAGAACATTTCTTTTCCTAGGCCTAAGGGAGCCGAAGAGAATGCATTTAGATCAGTATTTAAGTCTTCTGCACTGACTGCATCCAGCTCCATGGCATCCTCAATAATGGCATGCAGAAATTAGACAGGAAAAACTTATTTTAGGTTTTCAATATTTTTTAAGCATTCTGCATACTGACTATCCTTAGGTTTAAAGTTAGTTGATCCATGTATGATAATCTTCAATCTTGTGGCATGTTAATCTTGGGGAATTGAAAGGCTCAACTACTATTTCTACACTGTTGTACCTTAAAGTGTTGTTGTGCTTGTTCCAGGGAAACATGGTGAAGCTACCAGAAGAGGAGAACACACCAGAGAAGAGGGTAGATAGAATCTTTGCCCTTATGGACAAGGTAAGTTTGTTTGTTTGTTTCTTTGTTATGTCCGTGGTGCTGAAAAGCATGTCGGCAGCATGTACTACACCTGCGCAAAACCTGCAATGTTACCTTCGCAAAAGGAAAACATATATATATATCATATAATTATGTAATTGTTTTTCCTCTGTGTCTTTTTGCTATTTTTCTTCCTCTTATTTTTCTCCAAACAAATGAAGTCAATGACCTGAACTAGATGTCTTTCACCATGGTAACTGGTGTTGGGTTACATTATGTTGCAGGTGCCATGCAGAATTAAGTTCAAGTGACCATATAAGAGTAAATAGAACTGTTACTGTTCAGCTAGACCATGTGAAGATAAACATAATGCATTTGGTATGCAAAATTTAGCTTTCTATTATAGTTATATATATATTTTTCTTCTTTTTCACAGAATGGAGATGGGAGGTTGTCGATGGAAGAATTTCAGGAAGGCTCCAAATCAGACCCGTCCATTGTCCAGGCTCTCTCTCTTTATGACGGCCTGGTGTAGGAGCCACAGAATGTACAGAAAGATGCAGGTCTCTATGCAGTGTACAGTCAGTCAGACAGTCTTGCCAACAAGAACATATGTCACAGCCACGTGGTGTTGGAGAAATGAGAAGGGAATATGAACACTAGCCTCTAGCAGGTTTCGGGAGGCGACTGGAAAGAGTAGAAATTGGCCAAATAGAGAGTTGGTCCGCTAGACTCATTTTGTACAGTTTGCCGCACCCAAACTGTACTCTCTAGCAGACCAACTCCTCCCCATGTTATCTCTCTATTTGGCCAATTTCTACTCTTTCCAGCCGCCTCCCGAAGCCTGTTAGAGGCTAAATAAAAACTGTGATCCAAATGAATTGAAGGCACTCCTAGCTTAAATCCTATCTGGGAGTGATGCAATTGTTAACACGGATGGTATCCATCATCAAAAGAATTTTCTGATAGCACCTGTATTTCAACTGTTGAAAAAACAACCAGAATGCACTCTTATGACATTAATGATAATTCTATGAAAAGTTTTGTTGACTTCAAGAAAAAGCGGTAAACTCAAAGATGGGACCTGGTAACATCTGTGTCCATAATATCACCAGGGTCTATAATATCGCCACCTTGAGGAAACCTGTGCTTAAAGATATTTTTACTGCAACAGACCCTAGGTATGTACATTTGAGGTGTGAAGGAATGCCTACCAAAAGTATGTTGCAGTAAAAAATATCTTAAAGCACACTATTTCTCAAGGTGGTGATATTATGGACCCTGGTGATATTATGGACACAGATGTTATGTCACATTTTCAGTTTTGAAGATAAAGGGAAAATTAGTTCCTGATAAAAATATCATCTCTTTAAACCTAGCCAAAAGTATTGAACCTTCTGAACTTATATTTTAATGAAGATTATTATTATAACAGTGATGGCCTTACCTGTGACATAAGAATTCAGTGAGGACAATTGTTAAATCGAGAACAGATTTTTGAAATGGGAAGAGGACACCAATTTTGGAGTGAAGATTTTTATGTTTCCAGATAAAGTGGATCCAAGGTGGTGGGTTCACAAAAGTGCAGCTTCCAAAAGTATTTTGTCAGAGAAAAGGTATAGCTCAGTATTTTTATTGGTACTTCCAATGTGAAATTACCTTTTATGGTAAGTCAGGCTGACTTGATGTTTGAACATGTTACTGCTTGGATGTGATTGGTGGATGATCTGACATTTGAATATCATGTGACCATGTAGTGTCAGCTCATTGGTCAACATTTTATTTTTCAAGTTAGGCTACACCAATTTAATTTGTTGGTTCTCGGATTTTTTTATAAAAAATATGGAGCGAAAAAAAAAAACAGTTCTAGTCATCCTGTTTAGCCCCAAATGTTACGATAGGAGCCATTAAGTCAACACAAAAGGCTGGGTTAATATGTAAACATTGAATTTTGAACTTTAAATCAAACCACTGCATTGATAGATGAAAAAACTGTAGGAACTAGGAAGGAAACTGTTGGGGGCAACATATGAGCATTTTTTAGTTCATTTAGAATCAGAAGTTTTTTTTCTTGCAAATCAGAAAAAAATGAAGAGGAAATCCGAGAACCAAAAAGTTAAATTGGTGTGGCCTTATAGTAGCCAGATAACACCGTCATGGATAATACAAAACATTTAGTACAGATACACACAAATAGATAGTGATACTATCAGATAGACAGCCTGTAACATTTAATAGTTATAAGTTTCTGTGTTTTGGTGAAACGTTAACAATGGTGACAGATTGCAATTTTTATACAAAGATATAACTTTATCTGTCTTAGTATGGAAGATAGATTCATGTACACAATGTATATGATAATAATCAGGATAGTGTGTGTTTTATATGTGTGCAATATGAAATTTGTGACATAGTTTTATGTACATTTATGCTGCATGCAGAAAGAATAATATTTTATTGGTCACTTATAAGTTTCCAAAGACAATACCTTCTAATGACAAGGATTTTTTTTTTACATTTAGTGTTTGCTGCCAACTCTTCTTTTTCATTTAGCTATTTAGCAAAAAAGTATTTGCCAATGAAAAGAAAAGTCTACTCTTAATGTTATACTCTAAAATGAGAAAACGTGACAGTTTTTTTAAGCCTCCACCCAGTCAACATGATATAAGAGCCATATATACAACTGATTTTCATCTAAATTGTTGAAATTATTTGCAAAAAAGGCCACCAACTTCTAAGTAAGTTTAGGAATAAGTTTAATGTATCCCTTCCCACCAAAGTCAAAAGTATGTTTCAAAACGTATTACCTCATTCTGTATTTGTTCTTCAGTGCCAATTTCTCTTTAAGGCCTAGGAAAAAATGTTGTGTTTCCTGTTTCCCGACCGACTGTAGAAAATACTGCCGACCCAAGCCTTATTGTTTTGGACCCCTGCAAGGGACATAAATGTTTTGAGCTGATCGACCTTTTTTAGCTCCATGATCTGACACCTGAGTGATGAAACGTTGTGCAATCAGTTTTCTAACATTGACATTGAAAATATAAGTTTGCTCATGCAGATTTTACTTTGTAAAAATGTATTGTATAAGTTGAATCACTAGAGATCGTGTGTAAAAGTGTAAAGAAAAAAAAGATAACCCCTTCTTACCGATCCTAATTTTTTCAGGACTGAAACAGGAAACACAACATTTTTTCCCTAGACCTATCCAAGGCAGCAGGTTTTTCATGTGCACGAATGTTGTGCCTTGATGCTCGGCTTTTAAACTATATAATGTTTTATTTATTCAACTAGTTAGGCTTTGCAGTAGTAAGGTAACTCTTAACAGAAATGTTGTCATGACAGTACTTGTGTAGTATTTGATCATTTTCCATATCTTTCAGTCTTGCCAACAGTAAGACTTTTAATAGTCTAGGTTGCAAAGCCACTTAAACCTAGTCTTCAAAATTAAAGCGAATGGGTGTTTTAAAGGTAAACGTTGGTGGGTTATTCTTTAACTACTTGCAGGATTTATAAGGTTTGTCCTGAACATTATGCAAAAAAAAAAAGATTTTTGAAACTTATGTGAAGCAGTGAAGTAACACAATATCATGTAGTTGTTGACTGTCAAACTGTCGGTACAGTAATCATGTTTACCGAAGGAAAACATATTGTTTTTGCTCTGTTTCCTCTTCCGTTCCAAACAACAAAGGTCGCGTGACGTCTGTCACCATGGTAACTGGTGTTGGGTTACATCATGTTGCAATTTTATAGCAGGAGGGATTTAGACTCCTGTCACCATATACTAGAATGTGTTTGAGTAAGAATTAACAGAGCAGACTATATGTAAACGTAAACATTATGCATTTGCTTTGCAAATGTTACCTTTCGACTATATTACCTGCCTTAGACCGTCTTAAAGTGAAGAATTCTAGAATTTACTGTACATAATGCTGCTGTAGTGTCTGTTGTGTAGTTGTGAATGTGTAACTGTAATGTCAGTTGTTTCTTTGTTTGTTTGGATGACTTTCTGGACATATGTAACAAAAATGTGTGACGAAAACTTGTCTAGATGGACATGTGTTAATAAATGCAGTACAACTGTCTCGCTTTTCTTTGCTTGAAATGTTGCTTAAAGCTTACTAGCACCATCTACCGACCTTTCTGTGAACTACACTCTTCAATATTCCGCCCAAATCCATTACTGGGCATTGTGCACATTGAATTAACAAGAAGTGTCTATGATACAATTTTACCGAGAGTCGTCCATTCCGTCAATAGTTCATGAAACCAAGCGCTCGTTCCTGTACGGTTCTTAATTCAAACGTCAGAGGTGCAAAGAAAACATTTTTTGCCAATGACATAACTGGTACAAAGTTGTTGGGGTGATGCTTACAAATGTGTGTCGGCGTCTCACTGGTAACATTTTGTTTCTGATAATCATCTTACAGTCCATCCCGTCAATACGTTAATGAAGGTTAGACACGTAGGTAAACAATACTCATAGGTTTTTCCAGTTGCTAATATATGTAATATAGTTCTGTTAGTTCATTAGACGCTGAAGAAGAGTGGTGGATGTCACTCGAAACGTCCGGACATTATCTCCGTACATTTTGTAATTTATCCAGTAGTAGAGTTTGAATTTTCTATGAGCATCCCATCAATAGTTCCTTAAACCAGCCGCTCGTCCCTGTACGGTTCTTAATACCATCCATTCAAACGTCAGAAGTGCAAAGAGACCGTTTTCAGGGGCCTGTCGTGAAGAGGACGGGGTCAGTCGCACCATTGTTCGCAAGAATCGCGACGGGACTTGTTTCCAGCGGCGGGATACAAAAGGTTGGCGGCGAGTCGGCTGGCGGATTAAACCAACACGCTAAGAGGTCGGCGGTGTCAAGCGCAGTCACAATGTTACTGTATGTAAGGCCACACCAATTTCATTTGTTGGTTCTCGGAATTTTTTTTCCAGAAAAAATATGAAGCGACCGGGCGAAAAAATAAAAACAGTTCTCGGCATGAGATTGATAGCCTAAAGCATCACCGCCTTCATTTTATGGATGACATCCGCGCACGCATTTAAAAAATTAAAAGAAAAACAGAGCACGTCCTCCTAGCCTCTGGCCTAGCTCTAGGCCTGGGTAGTCCATGGTAGTTCAGCGACAATACTGAGGTGGTAACTTTGGAGGACGGCACCCAGGCTACCGAAGCTTCACGACTCAAGAACTCAGTACGTACGTACAGTGCTGATTCATAAAATCCACAAAAGTCCAGTATGTGCCGGCTTGTCGTATACGTCGCTGTGTACTGACGCAAATTCACAATACCAGCTTTGTATTCATGTGGTTTAGTAGCATTTTTATTTTTGGCCGAAATTTTTTTCTTCGCCCGCGCGCACTACTTTTTGGGTCTTCAAGGGATGTCATCCATAAAATTAAGGCGGTGTGGCCTAAACGTCGTCATTGTTGGGGAGACAATGTGTAAAACCAACCCCGGCAGACCGACTGCCGAGCGAGCACAACTGGGCAAAACGTCGCGTTTTTGCCGCCAATTCCGCCGCATATGTTCCGCTGTCGGTCAGCGTCCGACCGAGTTTTCCGGCTGGAATCACTTGGATAGCTTTGGTGGACATCTTCTAACATAAACATTTAACTTAACTTAACTTTACTTTTTACTGACAACACATCAGTACACGGGTCATCAAGGCAGTCCCTGGTAGTAGTTGACCCACAAATACAGACGTTATACAAACAAGACAAGTAAAGAAAATCTACTGTGAA